GGCCGCCGCGCGCCGAGGAGCCCTAAACCCGAAACACGATTTGTACAGTTAAGAGTCGGGGCGCTGAGGAAGGAGCCCTTTGCGTTGGGGAGGTGCTCGGTGCTCCTTGATTGTTTCAAAACTTACTCAGGGTTTTCCTGAGGTGTTCCATGGGAAATCGAGGTACAACTTATGGGAAAAGGGGCCTCGCTCCTTATTTGGGGTTCCTTAGGTCAACGCCTCGACTGTAAGGGTTAGTTCTTAATGCAAAGGTATCGCTCGGATTCCGCCTTTTGGGGGGGCCGAGCCCTAAACTCCTTGCGATCATCCCTTCAAAGCGTGGTGCGGCGCACATCGTCATGCGAAGCTCACTCCTAAACTCGCACGATCGGCCACTTGAAAATGTGGCGCGGGCCACATCCCGCGCGCGCCACCGAGGGAAACGAATTACGTGCTCTTCGCGAGAATTTTATTAAACATGTGGCGCGGGTCACATTCCATCCGCGCGGCTGGCCTGCGCCCCTGACGATCGCCCACGACAAATATAGTGCAGCCCACTTTCCGCCCACGCGGCGCCCGCGTAGTTTTGGGTAGACATAAGAAGCACGCTTGCGCTACTTGAGGAACAAGCACAATCATAATGGGCTGGCTGGCGTTGTTGTTTGCTGTCAACCGCCTTCTTCCGCCCCCGAAGACTTTGGCCTCGCGTTTCCAGGCGGCTCGCTGCCGCGACGCCCACACGGCCTTCCCCGACGGCTTGCATGCATCAGAGCGCGTGTCTTCATGTGCCATGCGTTTGTAGGGTCGTTGGGATGTGAGCACCGCGCCAATGTACGGCACGTCTAGTTTGTTGACGTCTTCGTCCTGGTCGACCCTGAACCCGAAACCCGAAACCCAGATCGGGGCCAGGCTTTTCATCCAGTGTTCTTGTGGACTGCCCCGGGGGCAGGAATCGGTGTCCAGAGGCCGAGCACGGCGCGCAACGTGCCGTCACGAGTGCTGCTGCAGCGCCCAGATCTGAGGGGTGGACGTCGCCCGCTGCGGGCGGCCTGCGCCTGCTGCAAGGGCTCCCACGAGGGCGCGAAGTTATTCGCGCTTCGCGCTTCGCGGTCCTCGTTCCTTCTCCCCCTCCTCCTCGTCCTCCTCTTCTCCCTCTGGGGGGGCGGCGCGAGAGCGCGAAGTTATTCGCGCTTCGCGCTTCGCGCAGCGCGAAGCGCGAAGTTGGGAGCCCTAGCAAGCTCGACAGGCACGCACAGGGCGAGCGCACGGGCCCCTTCGGCCGAGGCGCGGCAGGCGGCGGGGAGCTCACAGGCGGGCCGAACGCTGCGGCCCGACCACGCGCGCAGGCCGCCCGACAGGGCCCCGCAGGCCGAAGCGCGAGCGGAACCTGCCGTTCGAGACAGGCCCAGGCCCCCTTGGCGCCTTGCAAGAGTCGCGACGGCAGGTTTTCGCTACTTTCGGCTTCCAGGGGCCCATGCCCGGCCTCGGGGCCATCAAGCTTCGGGATGGAAAAGGGCCCCTGGGAAGGGGTCCGGACCTCCGGTCCCCACGCTATGGAGAAGCCTACCAACACATGACGCTTGAGGTTTTGGAGAAGGCACCTCAAACAAGAAACTGGCCTGCCCCACGGAAGCTTTTTATTCTCTGGCGGTTCAATGGAATCACAGACGCTCTTGGGCATCATCGTAGGACCCTCAAACAATGTGTCTACTGTACCCCCTCCCTCCCGCCGTGAACCACGACCGACGTTTGTTGCCAGTTTCCCGCCTCCGGGGGCCCGCTGCTGGGGCCCAGGACAGTGACAAAAACAATGGGATGAAAATCAGGTCCTTGTCAAGGGAGGGAACATCATCTGGACCCGACTCGTCGGCCTTGGGAGTTGCCCCTGACCGACCAGACTCGTGAGCGGACGGCTTCCCGATTTCTCGGGGTGGACTTTCGAGGGGGGCTATGGGCGAGGGTCGTCGGATGGGGGTCCCCGCTCGAGCTCGAGCGGGGGCTCCCCTCGGGGTCCAACAGCTCGCGCCCATACCCATTGTGCCTCCATCGCTTTGCCCTTCCACACTCCTGCTCTCCACGGTCAGGAACTTTGGCTTAGCGTGTCGCTCCGCCGGTCCTGGCCCGCTCCTCCTCCTTCTCCTCCTCCTTTTCCTCCTCCTCCTGCTGCGAACGATCATAGGGACATCAGGGTCTCAGTGTCTTTCATGCAACACATGCAAAATGGAGAGCCTAACCTCGTCGGATGTAGGTTGTTGGCTGTCCCAGGGGTCCAAGGGGACCCTGAAGGGAGCAAACCCTCCAAGGGGTCCAAGGGGTCCAAGGGGACCCCGAACCGTCGTAGGGGTCCAAGGGGACCCTGAAGGGAGCAAACCTTTCATCACAACCTTCAACCTCAGTGCAGACGTTGAGGTTATGTTCGCTGGCAAAGACACTCACCACCAGCTGCTCAAAGAGGGATCTGCTGCTAGAGATTCTAGCAAGGCGTCCCTGTATGCCGTCGTTATTGACGGCCATGAGCACTGGTGTTGATGTACCACGTCCTGAAGGGAACCAGTGGATAAAACAGTGCCTGTAAGAGCCTCTGCCTGCAAGGGGAACAATATGTTGGAATTCAGGCAGGGCAAGGAAACTTAGCTGACCTGGAGGTGCCTCGAAGCTATGAAAGGAACCAGACACGCGACTCCACGCACACACAAATTAGACTTAAAGACATCCTCACTAAGTCATGTGCAAGGTCGAGCTTCTGCCGAGCCTTCCCTCTGAGCCATGCGTATCCCCATGGGTGTGCAGCAGCGCGGTCCGAGAGGTTGACTTCGCACACCGCTGCAGCAACCCGACCCTCGGATATTAGGTCAAAGAAAGTGTGCATGTGTGTATGCATACCCTCGTGTTGAGGGTGGATATGTCGAGCATGGACAGTGGTGCTGAGCAGACGGCACGGCACCAAATCTCTACAAAGTGCTGAAAATCAAACGTGCAAAACGTACAGGGCCGGCTTCGATGTCACGTGCAAAACGTACAGGGCCGCACAAGCTGGTATCTGCGGAACGGATTGCACAGGCTGATCATCGGGCGTCTGAACAGCAAAATTATGGGCACGACACTTAGGTATGGGAGTGGCCTTGACTCCTATCAGGGTGGGCCCACATATGCGGTATGGCGGTTGTTCGGCGTAGCCAGCATATCTGCCATTGCGCATTATATGTGAAGATGTCTGACAGCCCAGTTCTGCTAAACACTGAATCTCTGCCTGTTGCAGGGGTCTGAGCACCGAGGAAATCCTGGCAAGACAAAACTTCGACCCATGCCGAAGATGTCGCAACAGGCGTATCCTGGTGTGAAAATTGCGACCACAAGAAACACAGTCTGCACTGGGTACACACCTAGCTGCAAGGTCAAAAGCAGGATGCTTTTTTGTTCGATGGGCTGCTAGGGCTCCCGTATTGTCTGGTCTCCTCCTCCTCCTCCTCCTCCTCCACCTCCTCCTCCTCCTTTTATATGGGGGATCCACCGGAGGCTCCAGTGGCACAGGCCGCAGGCGTCACCGCCACCCAGGACAGCGCTTCGTGGCCCCATAGGGAGCTTCACCGAAGGCTCCAGTGGCACGAGCCGCATGCGTCAACGCCACCCAGGGCAGCGTTTCGTGGCCCATATGGAGTTCCACCGAAGGCTCCAGTGGCACAGGCCGCATACGTCAACGCCACCCAGGACAGCGTTTCGTGGCCCCATAGGGATTTCCACCGAAGGCTCCAGTGGCACAGTCCACATGCGTCAACGCCACCCGGGACAACGTTTCGTGGCCCGGCCCCATAGGGAGCTCCACCGAAGGCCCCAGTGGCGGTGTCCACATGCGTCCGCGCTGCCGATGTTTGCGCACCCCTCGCACATTTCGCGGCCCCATGGGGAGCTCCACCGAAAGCGGTACCCACATGCGGCACTCGCAGCTGCATATGGTTGGGTCCTTCGTCAGGCTAATTTCCTTCCGGGAAGACCGTTTTAGCAGCCACGGATTTGCCAGGCCTCGCCCAATTTCCAACCACTGATCACTGTGAGGGGGCCCGATAGCCCATCCCACCCCGCCGAGGACCGGTAGGCGGTAGGGGCCCCGATAGCCTACCCCGCCGAGGACAGTCGGAGGCCTGTCGCCGATCGAGCGGAGAGGTATCGCCGATTCCAGGTCGATCAGCGACACCCCCATGCTGCGGTCGGGGGTGCCGATGATCGACGCCCCCGACCGCCCATTGATCGCCGTGAGGGGGCCCGGTAGCCCGTGCCACCCCGCCGAGGACCGACATAGGGGCCCACCCCGTCGAGGACCGCCGATGACCGCCGAGGACCGCCGAGATCGGCAGGGGCCCCAAGGGCCCACCCCGTCGAGGACCGTCGGGGGCCTGTTTGTCGCCGATCGGACGGCAAGGCATCGCCGATCTCAGGTCGATGTGGCTCCCCTGGGCCAGTGCCCCCCCATTCTTCCCTCAGAAGGGGGGAAAGCACACAGACACAATGAATCGTCGATCCCCAGGACACGATGGGAGTAGATGGGAAGAAGACAGAAGTCCCGCGGCCTTCGGAGAAGTTTTCGAAGCCTGCCCCGAAGAGACAGAACACTTCTGAGAAGGCCGGAGGGCTTCTGAGAAGCCCCGGCCACCTTCTGAGAAGGCCTCCTCCTCCTCCTCCTCACTTCCCGCTGTGCGCGCCGCCGAGAAATGAAGGATGAGTAGGGCCCTCTCCTCCGCCTTCGCCTTCTGAGAAGGCCTCCTCCTCCTCACTTCCCTCTGGGCGCGCCGCCGAGAAATTGCGGATGATTAATGGAGGATGACGATTAATAAATGACCAGGGGTCGTGTTCACGCGGCGGCGCCCGGGATGACGATTAGAAAAAACCGGCCGCGGGCTGGAAAACTATTTTTCTAATCGTTCTCCTCCGGTCAGTGCAGAAATAGCAGGAAGCTGATGTTTGAATTGTTCTCTCCTTTTTTTTATTAATCGCCATCCCGCATTATGACCCCCTCCTCGCCGCAGGCCGGCGCTGCAGATTCTGAGCCTGCCGCTGGCGAGGCCGGCACGGCGGCCGCCCAGGGGATGAAGCGGCCCGTGTCCGGCGAGGCGCCGGACCCGAAGAGGCCCGGCGGAGGGGCAGAGCCAGGAGCACGATGACGATTTCGGGGGCGGAAAAAGAGGGGGGTGATGACTAGGGGGGGTGGATATCATGGCGGGGGCCATGATATCTCCCCAGATCTCGTGGCGCCTCTTCTTATTTCATTAAGTCCCTGGCCCCCCCCCGCTGGGCCGCGCACATGCCGCCGCTCATGATTTGCACCCCCCCCTCTTGGACACCCCCGTCTTGGCCGCTCCCGACGATTGCGATGCTGCTACTCATGACCGTGCAATGGTGGCATGGTGACAGTGACTATGCCGATGATGATGGCAATGATGGTTAGGCATGCGATGCTGGTGGCGATTGTGTGATAAGGAGCAGGACGACGAGGAGGATCGTCGGATGACGCCGATGATCAGGAGGTTGATGATTGAGATGATGATGATGCTGCTGCTGATGTTGATGATGATTATGGTGATGCTGATGCTGCTCATGATGATGATGTTGTTGATGATGATGACGATGATGACGATTATGCTGATGATGCTCATGATGCTCATGATGCTGACGATGCCGATGATGAAGATGATGATGCTGCTGATGATGATGATGATGATGATGGTGATGGTGATGATGATGATGCTACTGACGATGCTGATGATGCTGATGATGCTGTTGATAATGATACTGATCATGCTGCTGCTGCTGATGATGATGATGATGGTGCTGATGATGCTGATGGTTATGATTCTTATCATGATGATGGCGATGGTGATGATGCTGAGGGTAGCCGTTCATCGTTGCGAATGTAATGATGATAGTGATGGGGATGACGGTGAAGAGGGGATTGCGTGCATTAACAGTTTCGGTCGCAGTGAATTCTTGAGTTCGGGGTGGAGAACTGAACATGTTCGGTAGCAGCGAGAAGCGAGAGGCTGCGCTTTGGAGCCTTAGAGGTGTGAATGTCTTGACCATCAGGCTGTGCGACGCGTTGCAGCGGTAGCTCTCATGGAGTTTCCCGCTTCGCATGTGGTGGCAACGCCTGACCGACATGTACAGTGTAAGCCGGTCCTACGGGTTAGCCTTTACAGCAAGGCACCCTTGCGTCTTTGAATTGTTTACGCTTCGCGAATCCTCATCAGCTTGGGAGGGGTGATCCTGGCACGGCTCAGGGCAGTCCTGGCACGACCATGGCTGGCATGACGGAGGCAAGTGAGGCAGACGGAACAGCGACGGTGCAGATCACGACGTCAAGCGGTCGTTGGATGCGTCAGAAACGTCACCAGCAGGCAGGACCGTTAGCCAGACACCAGACACCAGAAAAAGTGGCCGTTGGCCACCTCAGTGCCAACCCCTACTTCCTGGCCGCACTTTCAGCGTAAGTGACTGTGTGGCCGTCTGCCAGTTGCTTCCCTGGCGTTGCCCCCCCTCCTCTCCCCACCTGCCGACCGGTTTCGGTCACAGCACAGCGCCTGGCTCGCCCCTCGCCCTTGAGGATCAGGCTCCACGGCGCTGTCAAATACCTGGCACGGTGCCCTTGCTGGGGCGGGGCGCAGCGTGCCGTCACACGGCCTCGCCATTTGCTGTAGCTGTGTTCGCCCGGGCCTTCCCCGCTCCTGGCCGCAGCCTGACCCGGTTCCCTCGTCAGCGGGCCTCGTGACCAGTGATGGTCCCGATGCTGCGCCTGGCTTTGCCCCCCGCCCTCGGGGATCAGGCTCCACGGCGCCGTCAATACCTGGCACGATGCCGCTTGCTGGGGCGAACCGCTGCGTGTCACGCGGCCCTGGCCGTTGACTGTGGCTGTTCTCGCCCTGGCTTTCGCTCGGACCTGGCCACAGCCTGGCTCGGTTTCCCTGGTGAACTGGCCCCCCTCTTCGTGATGTCTTCTGACTCACGCGCCTCGCCGCGGGCTCCCGGCCTGAGGTTACCCGCGCTTGGTGGTTTTCGGTCCCGTGGAGCCTGGTGAGGCACCCTGGCGTTCAGGTGACGTGCGTTTTGACCAGCCCGGCTAGAGTGCTTGCACTTCCTTGTCCTCTGGTTTCCAGGCACCGTCACAGCCTGGCCGTGTTTGCCGTTGCCGCCGGCTTGGTGGGACGCTGCCTCACTGGTTTACTCAGGAGTGGTCCAGCTTTCTTGGTCTGCCATGTGTGATCGTCCCCGTTGGCCTGCAGCCTACCACATTGGACTGTTTATGCAGCCCCACGCTTTGCCACGCTTGTGGCGCGTCGACCTCTGACGCCTGGTGCGACAAGGTTCAAGTCATTCTTCCTGGTGGTCTCGCTTGTCGGGTGCCCGCACGCTGGCCTCAGCCCTCGGCGCAGCTCAGCGTCCCTCGGCGGTAGTTCTGCAGCCGCCAGTGCGCGCGCTAGGTTAGTTAGGTTTGCTCGTAGCCCGATCTGGCTTGTGACGCCGCTGTGCGCCTTCGCCTGCGGTTGCGACGGAGAAGAACTCTCACCAACCCATCCTAAAGCAGTCAGTCTAGGGAAGACAGGACCGTCTATCCAGAGACGATGCCCAGAGGATTTGCCTCGATCAGGGAAGTGGGGAGCACACAGAGGAAGGATCCTTCTTGGAGCGCTCTTGGGACTCTTGGGCGCTCTTGGGGCAGTCTTGGGGTTCTCTTGGGCCTCTGTTGCGTCTTGTCTTGGCGGTCCTGGAGCGTCTCGGGGGGCCTCTTGGTGCCTCTTGGGGGTCTCTTGGGAGCCTCTTGGGGGCCTCTTGGGCGCCTCGCGGGGCCCTCGTGAGGCGCTCTTGGGAGCCTTGGGAGCGCGCTTGAGGCCATCTTGGAGGCCACGGCTCAAAACGGAGCGCGGCGTCAATCTGCCCCCCCCCAAAAAAAAGGCCAACATGGGACCAACACCTTAGTACACCCAATGATTTTGGCTTCCTCGCCGAGGCTGTCTGGGACGCTCCAACGACCCGCGCGCGCGCCCCTCCTCCAGGCCCAGGGGGAGGGGGTAGGGAGAGGGGCAAACCCTTCCCCGAAGGGGGAGAAAAGGGGTTGGACAGAAGGGGTTGTCTAAACCACTCACGCCCTAAAGGGCTGGTTGTATTATGGGCATAGTCTTGCATGTTCATGGGACACTGTACCTTTGCATCTCTGCGCGTTCTATCGAGGTGCCTGTCATTCTCATGCTTTGCCCTCACCCATGGCGTTTGGCGGTGCTCCAGTTGATGCATGGACTTTCGCTGGAACCCGTTAGTCCTTCCCGCAGGCAGCCCCAGAATGGCAATGCTCCTTCTGCCCATTGTGGCCGGGCATCGTCCCACAGGTCACCTGCGCAGGTCAGCGCAGATCAGCGCAGGTCAGCGCGGGTCAGCGCGGGTCAGCGCGCGGGTCGGCGCGCGGGTCGGCGCGGGTCGGCGCGCGGGTCGGCGAGCGGCCCCGCGCTCGCTCGGATCCGCGCTGACCTGTGCGGACCTGCGCTGACCTGCGCCGACCTGCGCCGACCTGCGCTCATCTGCGCTGACCTGCGCTGACCTGGACAACCTCCTCCTCCTCCCTTCGGGGGGGAGGGGGGCCCAAAGGGAAAGGGTGGTTGGAGGAGGAAGTTCTCTCGACCTCCTCGCGCGCGAAGGGGCCGGTTGGAGGTCATTGGCCCACATCAACGACGTTCTATTCGCCGATTCGCAAGGTACACGGCCCGATAGTCTTCCGTACGCGGGTCTCTCGGGAAGCCTCGTTTTTATTTGCAGGGTTGACGTATCTGTTTTGGAATAATTTTGGGCTTCTTGGTGCTCGTAGGGGGCAGGATTCCTAATTCCTTCGGTCTTTTAGGGCTCACTGAAAGCCGATCGGGCGCGGACGACAGAAACCGAACGCAGCGTGTGAGGGGGTTGGCTTCAGGGCTGGCAGGGCGGGGGTGTGTCCCCAAGGTGCTCCCAAGAGGGTCGCCCAAGAGGATCCAAGACGACCCAAGAGGCCCCGGGAGCCGAATCTGGTCTAAGAAGGTGGCTTGTTGCGGTCACCAGGCGGCCCAGGACGGTTCAAGATTCAAGAGGCCCCGAAAGTGACCCCAAGACGGTCCAGCAGGCCCCCCAGAGAGTCTTGAGGGTGCCCACGAGGGCCCACAGACAGCCCCAGAGCGCCCCTTCAGACGGCAACCCCCAGGGGAGTTCCACAGACCCGCGGGGGATCCACAGGCGCAGCAGGGTGTTCCACAAATCCCAAGGGGAGTTTACCCCCCCCCCCCCGGGGGGGGCTTCCACGAGCCCAGGGGGGAGTTCCACAGACCCCAGGGGAAATTCCACAAGCCTTGTGGGGGGTTCCACAAACCCGCGGGGGGGGGTCCACGAGCCCCCGGGGAATTCCACAAGCCCCAGGGTAAGTTCCGCAAGCCCGCGGGGGGGTCCACAAGCCAGGGATGGAGTTCCAACCCCGGGGGGGGGGTCCACAAACCCCGGGTGTTGTCCACAACCTCGGGAGCTTTTCGCAGACCCCCGGGGGAGTTTCACTAAACCCAGGGAGCGAATGGTGCCATGAACCATCTCGGGCAAGTTTCTGAGGCGCTCTTTCCGTTCCCGTGCCGGCCCGGGCGACGGAAAGAGCGAGTACGAGTGATGACGTTGAGTTGGGGCGAAGCTTTCTAGGGAGGGGTCCAGGAGAGGGGCGAGGCCTGGGGACAATTGTCTAATAGCCAGTTTTTCGAGTGAAGCGGCTCCCGGGCGGCTCCCATTGCCCGTTTCTTTTGTATTTTTTCGGGTGAAGCGGCCCAAGGGCCCCCAGACGGCCCAAGAGGGCCCCAAGACGGCCCCAGGAGAGCTTCAGATGGCCGCTAAACGGTCCAAGAGAGTTTCGAGACGGCCCCAGAGGGCCCCCGAGAGGGCCTCCGGAGGCCAAAAACATGGATTTACTTTTGGTTTTTGCAGGTTTTTCGGCTTCTCCCATTTTCCGTCCCAGCAGGGCCCCCGACGGCCCACGAGGCCCAAAAGATCGTCCCAAGACGGCTCCAGAGGCGCCCCAAAGGGGCCCAAAACGGTCCAAGAGGGCCCGCATACAGGCCCAAGACGGCCCAAGACCCAAGAGGCCCCAAAGATCGTCCCAAGACGGCCCCAGAGGTGCCCCAAAGGGGCCCAAAACGGTCCAAGAGGGCCCCCAGACGGGCCCAAGACGGCCCCAGCGGCTCCAAAGATCGTCCCAAGACGGCCCCAGAGGCCCGGAGGTGCCCCAAAGGAGCCCAAAACGGCCAAAGATGGCCGCCAGACGGCCCAAGAGGGCTCCAATACGACCAAGAGGGCCCCCAGGGCCCAAGGAGAGCCCAAGAGGGCCCCAATAGGCTCCTAAGCGGGCCCGAAGAGGAGAAGGAGGAGGAGGAGAGGAGGAGGAGGAGGAGGAGGAGGAGGCGGAGGAGGGGAGGAGGAGGAGGAGGAGGGAGGAGGGAGGAGGGAGGGGAGGAGAGGAGGAGGAGGGAGGAGGGAGGAGAGGGAGGAGGGAGGAGGGAGGAAGGAGGAGAGGAGGAGGGTGGAGGAGGAGGATGAGAGGAGGAGGGAGGAGGAGGAGGAGGAGGGAGGGAGAGGGAGGAGGAGGAGGAGAGGAGGAGGAGGAGGAGGGGAGGAGGAGGAGGAGGAGGAGGAGGAGAGGAGGAGGAGGAGGAGTTGGAGGAGTCAGGAGGATGAGGAGGAGGAGGAGGAGGAGGAGGAGGAGGAGGAGGAGGAGGAGGGGGAGACGTAAGAAGCTCTTCACACCCAGGCTCCCAAGCGCGAAGGTGACGTAAAAAGCTTGTCACACCAAGGCTTCCAAGAGCGAGCGGTAACGTAAGCTTCTCTGAACACCAGGGCTCCCAACAGAGAGTGGTGACGTAACAAGCTCTTCCCACCAAGGCTGCCAAGAGCGAACGGTGATGTGACAAACTCGTGCACACCAAGTCTCCCAAGAGCGAACGGTGTCGTACACAACTCTCAGCACCAAGGTTCCCAAGAGCGAACGGCAACGTAAACGTCTCGGAACACCAAGGTTCCCAAGAGCGAACGGTGACGTCACAAACTCTTACCACCAAGGCTCCCAAGAGCGACGGGTGCCATGAGCCCTCTCGGGCAGGTTGCTGCAGAGCTCTTTCCGTTCCCATGCCGGCCCAGGTCTAACGCGCCCTGAGCTACCATGATAATCAACGGCCTCCGCTTGCCAGCGCACGCCGTCGACAGTTTCATATCCAGCTGCCCGACGCAACATCTTTCTCGAGCCAGCGCAGCAGCGCGCCAGGATAGGGCTGAGTTTGAGTCGAGAATCTCGCGCAGGTAGCCTTGCGTCCCCTTGGAGGCGGCTTTGGGCCATCCCGATGATCCTTCGTATCTCTTCCACACCACCTGCCCATGCTATCTCTCTTGTCCCGCTTAACGCTTCACCGCCATGCGCAATCAGCGCAGATCAGCCTGGATCAGCGCTCCGCGCGGGCCCGCGCGCCGACCCGCGCGCCGACCTGCGCCGACCTGCGCTGACCTGCGCTGGCCCGCGCTGATCTGCTGCGTGACCTGCGCTGGCCCGCGCTGACCTGCGCTGATGACATCTGTGGGTCGAGTACGGATTTCCTGCTCATGCTGGCGTCCAGGCCTGAACGTCGCCAGAGACCCGGAACCGGCCTATCTCGAACGCCGGGAAGCTTTGACGGTTCAAGGTTGAAAGATACATGCGATGTCAGGAACCAACGCCTAAGTCGTCGGGAGAGCGGGGAATGATAAGGAAGCATCGTGCTTCAGCCTCCCCCCCCTGTGTTGCAGGCCGAAGTTCGGCGTGCCGGCGGCAAAGTTCGGGGTGCCCAGCAGCATGGGACCGAAGCAACCGTCAGGACCGAACCCGAAGTCTCCTCTTATTCCTCTTCCTTGTCCTTCTCATGATGTGCTCCTTCCCCTTCTCCTCGTGTTCCTCTTCCTCGTTGTCCTCGTCCGTGTGTTCGTTATGTTCATGCTCCTGCTCCTTGTCATCCTCCCTGTGCTCCTCCTTGCCCTGTGACTCCTCTTCTTCTTCTTCCGACACGTGGCACGAAGGTGAGTAATTAAGAGCAGCCTTAGTTTGGTAGGCGTGCCCTTACAGTATTCGCACTTGGGCTCGCAACCTCGGAATGGCCCGCGTTTGGGGCATCCCCATACGTAGGGCGTTGGGTCTACGGCGAAGGGGCTCATGTTCTTTGCCCGCGCTCTTGTGGTCATTTCTCGACTGTGCTCCCCCTCCTCCTTGTCCTCCTGATCCTCCTCCTCCTTCTCCTCCTCCGTCCCCTCCTCCTTCTCCTCCTTCTCCTCCTCCTCCTCTTTCTCCTCGCCCTCCTCCTCCTCCCCCTCCTCCTCCTCCTCCTCCTCCTCCTCCTCCTCATCATCATCCTCCCCCTTTTTCTGCTCCTCCTCCTGCTCGTCGTTCTCCTCCTCCCCCTCCTCCTCATCCTCGTCTTCCTCATCCTCCTCCTCCCCCTCCTCCTCCATTCCTTTTCCATTACATAGCTTCTCCCTGTCGCACCCCGAAACAGGTTTTAGAGCGGGCTGGGAGTTTTGCCTGAGACTTCCTCACCAATCATGACCCCGAATATTCACACTTGACAACAACTTCACAGATGGAGGGCAGGTCGTCTTCAAACTGTGGCTCTCGCCTCAGCGCCGCGCGCATTCGTTTTACACATGTGCAAGAGCTTCACGGATTGATGGCGGGCCGTTTTCAAAATGTGGTTCTCGCTTGAGCGCCGTGCACATTTGTTAAACAAATGCAAGAGTTTCACGGATATACTGTGGTTCTCGCTCAAGCGCCGCGCACATCCCTCTTAAACCTGAGCCAGAGTTTGACGGATTGTGGGCAGCGGTTTTCAACATGGGGTTCTCGCCTCAAGCAGCTGCTTCTCCATGTATTGCAGCTTGGCATGCGTCTTACCTGCCACGTCGTAGGCCGCTCTGCCAGGCTGCGCGCGACGGGTACTCTCCTGCCGACAAGCGAATTTGAACTGGGTGTTGTTCGACTTTGGCCCCAGCTGCGCCATGCTCTGGAGCTCGCCGTCCGTGAGGTTCCTGAGGTCTTGGCCGCCGTTGCCACGGATGCCAGGTTGAACACCCACAGCAAGAGGAGCATGAAGGCCAGGAGGGGGGTGGACACACTGGGCGGAGCTACCACTGGCGGTCGGGTCCTCTTGCTCATGGACCTCACCTGATGAACGGGATACCCGCCTGCACAATTTCCACCGCTGCCGCTGCCCTTCACCCATGGCTGCAAGGGCAAGGTGCGTCGGGAGAATATCTTTCCGCTGGTGAGCCTTTGGCGGCTCTTGAACAGCGGTGCGTGCAGGCCCTAAGTCTGGCTGCTTGAGCCAGAGTGGCTTGAGCCAGGCTACGGTCCTCCTAATCTTCCTCCTCCTCCTCCTTCTCCTCATCCTCCTCCTCCTGCGCAAAGTCCTTCAGTTTTATGGTCTGAGATTTGAGTAACTCATTTGAACTCCACGCGCATTGCTCATTGCTCATTGTTCATTGCTCACTGCTCATTGCTCCTCCTCCTCCTCCTCCTCCTCCTCCTTTTCCCTCCCTCAGTCCCTCCCTCTGTTCCTCCCCTCCCCGCTGCTCCGTCAGCAGCCGGCGAGGACCGCCACCGAAGGCCCTGGGATCCCTTGCGCCGGCGACCAAAGCAGGCGAGCTTTCGGCCACTCTGCGGGGTGCCAGAGCGGCACGCACCCACGAGGAGGAGGAGGAGGAGGAAGAGGAGGAGGAGGAGGAGGAGGAGGATCGAGGAGCAAGAAGAGGAGGAGGAAGAGAGGGAGGAGGCGAGGAGGAGGAGGAGGAGGAGGCGGAGGAGGAGGAGGAGAAGGAGGAGGATTGGAGGAGGAGGAGGAGGAGGAGGAGGAGGGTGAATGAGGAGGGAGGAGGAGAGGAGGAGGAGGAGGAGGAGGAGGAGGAGGAGGAGGACGACGACGACGACGAGGGAGGAGATGGAGGAGGAGGAGCAGGAAGAGGAAGAGCAGGAAGGGGAGGAGGAGTCAGAGGAGGAGGAGGAGAGGAGGAGGAGGGGGAGGAGGAGGAAAGCAGTTGCACGACTCAGGGTGCGTGGCCACCCGCCCGGTCCTCAACACAGGGGCGGGGGGCCACACAGCGGACGACAGGCCAAGCGCGGCAACATCAACATCGGAGTACGCCGCGTAACGCACGAGATCGCACACCGAAGCCATGTCTCACGCGGCTTCGAGGCCTTAGAGTTCTCGCCACGGCATGCTCAGTTGCTTATTACTCCCACGCACGCTCGCACAGTAAGGCTTTTACCCGCATGGGCTTCGCCACGCATATCATGTGGCAGTTACCGCATTTCTGAAGATGGTGGAGACGTGTATTTGTTGCCCTGTGTACCACTTTATGTCAAGACAAAGCCCAAAGCCGAGCAACACTCCTGTAAGCCCAGCTCCATTCCCCACGTCTTCTTCGCCGCCCGCCGACCGAATCTCTTGACAATGGAACAAAGATGCGCCTACCTTTCAGCCACGCCTTGTAATCCCGCCGATCGTCCCGAGCGTTTCTATTGCTCCGTTTCCATCGCCTCCACCGACGCATATGCCACCTGGTCCTCTGTCGGACACCCAGGGCGCCGAGTCCAAGAAGGACCCGGAAGAGGGCACCGAGTACGAGGAGGCCATCGACCAGAGCCAGCTAAAGGCCAACGCCCAGCAGGAGACGGAGAACAACGCCAACAGCCCGACGGACTCCAGACCCGCAGGGACAGGCCACCTCCGCTCTGGACAACGAGTCCGACTCGTTCGCCCAGTGAACAGGCCCGCCCTGCACAAGTCCGAGGGGGCGTTCGGCGAGGTGGACCCTACCGCAGGACGGTCCCAAGTCAACTTGGCCAAGCCACCGTCAGCGTTAAGAAGGACAACCTCGAGCTTGCCGAACGCGCGCAGCAGATCCAATACCCGGAATCCCTGCTCGGGGCTCGCAGATTCGAGAACTTCAATCTATCCACCCAACGACCACGTCTTCCACCGTCTGTGGGAAAGAGGCAACAAGTGCTACGACAACGAGCAGCAACGGCCGGAGGCTCCAGGTTCTGAGCCGGCCGCCGTCTCCGCGGCCGCTCCCCGGAGGCCACCCTCTCCCCCCATCGCTTTTCTCCGCGGAGGAGGAGGAGGAGGAGGAACAGAAGGAGGATCATTGGAGGGGGATCGAATGGCAAGACGAGGAGGATGAGGAGGAGGAGGAAGAAAATGATGAGGAGGAGGGGGAGGAGGAGGAGGGGAAGGAGGAGGACAAGTGCGAACCCAAGACTCAGCAACGATGTTGGAAGACACCCTCCTTTTAAGATCCCTCTTCATAGACGCCTACACGGGGTCTTTTCGACTGAAGGGAGTGCCCCCGTCGGGAGACATCCGTGCGAACATCTTGAAGCATGCCAAACATACCATTCGCGGGACTTCCACAGCACGAGTTAATTTGACTGCTACTTGTTGGCGATCCTGATTCGTGCCAGAAATCATTCTTGGGACTTCAACATCGCGAATCAACGTAACTTGGCACCCTGACAATCCTGAATCGTTCCAACACGCCTTTTCTTGTACGTTAATTGTGTGAACCAGCGAGTCCCATGAACATTTCTACAGCGAACTTGCGCGGCACTGAGGCGACAGCCACATTTTGAAAGCTAACCGCCCTCAATCCGTGAATATGTCGCGAATGTCGAAGACGAATGTGCGCGACGCTGAGGCGAGAGCCACATTTTGAAAAACACCCGCCCTCAATCCGTGAAGCTCTTGCGAATGTTAGAATCGAGTGTGTGCGGCGCGAAGGCAATAGCTACATTCTGAAAACGCCCCCCCTCAATTCGTGATGCTGTCGCGAGTGTTCAAAACGAATGTGCGCGGCGCTGAGGCGAGAGCCACATTTTGAAAATTTCCGCCCTGAATCCGTAACGACCCTGTACTTGTTTCAACGAGCGTGCGTGGCGCGAAGACGAGAGCCACATGTTGTAAACCACACGCCCGTCAATGCGTAAAACTTCTGCAAACCAGTAAAGCCAAGGTGTGCGGCGCGAAGGCGAGAGCCAAATTTCGAAAACGAGCCGCGCTCAACATGTGAAGCTCTTGCGGCTGTTTTAAAAAGAATGTGCGCGGCTCCGAGGCTAGAGCCACATTTTGAAAACGAACCGCCCTCAATCCGTGACATTGTTGCGAATGTTTCGAACGAGCGTGCCCGGCGCTGAGGCGAGAGCCACTTTAAAAATTACTCCGACGGTAGGACCCCACATGAGAATCTGTTTAGCTTACCCTTTGCCCTTTCCTCCTCCCCCTGGCAGACACCCTCTCCTCTCGCCCCCTGCACTGCCCTCTCTTCCCCCTTCTATTTCTCTTCCTCCTCCTCTTTCTCCTCCTCCTCCTCCTCCTCCTCCTCCTCCTCCTCCTCCTCCTCCTCCTCCTCCTCCTCTCGCGCCACCTCCTCCTCGTCGTCGGCCTCCCCCATGCCCCTTCCCTCCTCATCCCCCTGCCTTTTCTCCATGTGCACCTCCCCTTCCCCCTCGTCGGGGCAAGCAAATCCATTTTCCTCAGCGCCGTCGCCGCCTCGGCCAGCGCGCGCGCGTCTGCCGACGGCTAGATCGCGAAGCCGTCGGGACAAACCTTCGGGCTGGGCCGTAGGCTCCCGCTCGAGACTTCCTCCATATTCAGGTCTCAAGAGCCCAAAAGTGACGACAGTTGCACGTTGCGGATGACCCGCTCGGATTCGAACGTGAAGTGCGGGCCCCATAGGGAGGGGGCTCCCGCTTGAGACTTCCTCACACTTCACTCACAGACGAGGCTCCCGCTCGAGACTTCCTCCATATTCAGGTCTCAAGAGCCCAAAAGTGGCGACAGTTACACGTTGCGGATGACCCGCTCGGATTCGAACATGAAGTGCGGGCCCCATAGGGAGGGGGCTCCCGCATGAGAATTCATCACAATTCACTCACAGACGAGGCTCCCGCCTTATACTCCCTCCATATTCAGGCCTCGAGAGCCCAAAAGTGACGACAGTTACACGTTGCGGATGACCCGCTCGGATTCGAACATGAAGTGCGAGCCCCATAGGGAGGGGGCTCCCGCTTAAGACTTCCTCGCAATTCACTCACAGACGAGGCTCCCGCTCGAGACTTCCCACCATATTCAGGTCTCAAGAGCCCAAAAGTGACGACAGTTGCACGTTGCGGATGACCCGCTCGGATTCGAACATGAAGTACGGGCCCCATAGGGAGGGGGCTCCCACCTCAGACTTCCCCACAATTCACTCACAGACGAGGCTCCCGCCTCATACTTCCTCCATATCCACGCCTCAAGAGCCCAAAAGTGACGACATTTACACGTTGCGGATGACCCGCTCGGATTCGAACATGAAGCGCGGGCCCCATAGGGAGGGGGCTCCAGCTTGAGATTTCCTCGCAATTCACTCACAGATGAGGCTCCCGCTCGAGACTTCCTCCATATTCAGGTCTCACGAGCCCAAAAGTAGCGACAGATGCACGTTGCGGATGACCCGCTCGGATTCGAACATGAAGTGCGAGCCCCATAGGGAGGGGGTTCCCGCCTGAGACTTCCTCACAATTCACTCACAGACGAGGCTCCCGCTCGAGACTTCCTCCATATCCAGGTCTCAAGAGCCAACAAGTGACGACATTTGCACGTTGCGGGTGGCCCGCTCGGATTCGAACGTGAAGTGCGGGCCCCATAGGGAGGGGGCTCCCGCTTGAGACTCCCTCACAATTCACTCACAGACGAGGCTCCCGCCTCATACTTCCTCCATATCCACGCCTCAAGAGCCCAAAAGAGACGACAGTTACATGTTGCGGATGACCCGCTCGGATTCGAATATGAAGTGCGGGCCCCATAGGGAGGGGGCTCCCGCTTGAGACTTCCTTGCAATTCACTCACAGACGAGGCTCCCGCTCGAGACTTCCTCCAGATTCAGGTCTCAAGAGCCCAAAAGTGACGACAGTTGCACGTTGCGGATGACCCGCTCGGATTCGAACGTGAAGTGCGGGCCCCATAGGGAGGGGGCTCCCGCCTGAGACTTCCTCGCAATTCACTCACAGACGAGGTTCCCGCTCGAGACTTCCTCCATACTCAGGCCTCAAGTCAGCGAGTAGTGATGGTGATGATGATGATGATGATGATGATGATGATGATGATGATGATGATGATGAGGATGATGATGATGATGATGCTGATGATGATGATGATGATGATGATGATGATGATGGTGATGGTGATGATGATGATGATGATCGTTCGATGCCGCTGATGGTGAGTGATCGTGCGATGGTGATGGTGATGCTGATGGTGATGATGATGATGATGATGAGTGGGGAGTGATGGTGATGGTGATGATGATGCGGAGGAGGAAGCAAAGAGGAGCACAGAAGAGGGAGGAGGAGGAGGAGAGATCCTGCGCGGAGGGTGTGCAGAGAAAACAAGAACCCCACTTAGGATGTGGGGAACAAAACGCCCGCCATCAATCCGTGAAGCTTTTGCGAGTGTTGAAAACGAGTGTGCGCGGCGCTCAGGCTATTGCCACATTTAGGAAACTGACCGCCTTCAATCAGTCAAATGCTTCACCATGTTTGAAAAGAGTGTGCGCGGCGCTGAGGCGAGAGCCACATTCTGAAAACCACCCGCCCCTAAAC